GCAGGGCTCCCTCGGCGGGCGCAGCTGCTGGAAAGCAGCCCCCAAGACGGCCCCAAGAAGGCCCCAAGACGGCCTCCAGGAGGCCCCCAAGCCGCCCAAGATTGCCTCCAGGACGGCCAAGAAGGTGGCCTCCAAGATGCCTCCAAGACGGCCAGGATGGCCTCCAAGACGGCCAAGATGGCCCCCCTGAGGCGAGGAAGGCCAGCAAGAGTGAGGACAACCGCACAGAACCCTCCAAGGACACGTAGTCCGAGGCGCCTGACGTGAGAGAACTTCTCCTCTGACCGGCTTCTGCGGGGAGAAAGCCTTCAAGAGTGTTGGGGACAACCACACAGAACCTCCAAGAACATGTTCCGAGGCGCCTGACGTGAGAGAAATTCTCCTCTGACCAGCTTTTCAGGTCGGGCATGTCCTCCTACAGCGGGATTTGGGACGAAATGCAGAGGTAGTATTATAAATACCTATACGACCACCCTTCGGGTGATAAGGAGGTCCGGGCGGGGGAGGAACCAACGTCTCACGATCGGTCTCACTATCGATCTCACTATCGATCTCACTATCAGTCTCGCTCGATCGATCTCACTCGATCGATATCACAATCGATCTCACTCGATCTATTGCATCCGGTCGACCTCACAATCGATCTGACTATCGATCTCACATTCGATCTCACAATCGATCTCACTGTCGATCTCACAAACGATATCACATTCGGTCTCACTATCAATCTCACGATCGATATCACAATCGATCTCACAATCAACGTCATCCTCATCATCATCAACATCATCGTCATCATCGTCATCAACATCATCACCATCATCATCGGGACACCATCATCATCATCACATCAACATCATCATCATCATCATCATCAGCAGCAGCATCATCATCATCATCATCATCATCATCATCATCATCATCATCATCATCATCATCATCATCATCATCATCATCATCATCATCATCATCATCATCATCATCATCATCATCATCAAAATCAGCATCGCCATCATCATCATCATCGGGACACCATCATGGTCACCATCATCATCACCGACATCATCATCATCGGGACACCACCATCATCGGAACACCACCACCACCATCATCATCATCATCTCATCATCATCATGAACAACATCATCAACATCATCATCATCGGGACACCGACGGGACACCAGCGGGACACCGGCGGGACACCGCGCGGCACTGGACCCCGGAAGGAAATCAGTTGGTCCGGCCGCGCCTCAGCCACAGCGGGACACCGGCGGAACACCGCGCGGCACCGGTTGCCGGAAGGGAATCATTTGGTCCGGCCGCGCCTCAGCCACAGGAGACTTTCCTCTCGCCCGCCCACGCAGCTTCGCCTCGCCCACACGCACGGCACGCACGAGCACGAAACCGAAATCGATTTCCTGGTAGGGGGGCTCTCCGTTCCACTTCGATCTCACCCCCTCACCTCCGATTCAGAAATAATAAAGAATAGTCGAAAAATCGTCCCCCGACTATTTTTACTATTTTTGAATATTCCTCCTGTAGAGGGACACGCCCGACTTGACGTTACTTGACTGTCCAAGGGCCCGCAAGAGCCCGCTGGAGGCCCAAAACGACCCCAAAACCTCTGTCATTTTTTGGGGGGGGGTCCGCAGCGGGAGGAAGACTGGGCATCCCCCTCCCCTCCCCTTCGCCCTCCTCCCGATCCCCCCCGCGAGGACGCAGAGGAGGAGGATGAGGAGGAGAAGAGGAGGAGAAAGAGGAGGAGGAGGAGGAGGAGGGAGGAGGAGGAGGAAGAGGGAAGGAGGAGGAGGAGGAGGAGGAGGAGGAGGAGGAGGAGGGAGGAGGAGGAGGAGGAGGAGGAGGAGGGGGAGAAGAAGGTGCGCACTGGTCACAGAGAGGTGGACAATGAGGTTGAGGAGGAGGAGGAGGAGGATCATAATGAATCCATGATGCATCAGCTACGCTGTAATGCACCCTCCCGTCCCAAGTCTCCTGCTCACACGTCCCTACAGGCTTTCCTTGTTTCACCTTTTCCTCTTCACTACCGTAAGCGCCCCCTCTTGAAAGACCAGCGCAGTCGGACCTGCCATGCTGGCAGGGGGCCGCTCTGGAAACTCTGGCGCGCAGGCCGGGAGAGCGAAGAACGAGGACCATAGAGGTCAACGAGATGTCAAAGCGACACCCCCCTTTCGAAAAAGGATCGCCCCGGCGTCGGCGTCGGCGGCGTCGGCGTCGGCGTCGGCGTCGGCTTCGTCGTCGTCGTCGTCGATGACGCCGTCTTTGGAGGAGCAGCAGCAAGGGGAGGAGGAGAAGGAGGAGGAGGAAGACGACGAGGAGGAGGAGGAGGAGGAGGAGGAGGTCGAGGGAGGGGAGGAGCGAGGGAGGCAGCCCCTGCAGAAGCTCACGTGCGTGGCCGCGATGGCGCGGGAGCCTCGAGAGCGAGGGCTCCGTGTCGGAAGGGAGAGCCTCCCTGGAGCGGTGCAAAGCTGCACGAGCGTGGAGCCTCGCGCTTCTAGAGTTGACGGGGTTTCGAGCGAGAGCCGCACCCTCCTCCTCCTCCTCCTCCTCCTCCTCCTCCTCCTCCTCCTCCTCCCTCCTCCTCCCCCTGCTCCCTCTTCTCCTCCTCCTCCTCCTTCTCCTCCTCTCCTCCTCCTCCTCCTCCTCCTCCTCCTCCTCGGGTTGAAGGCCTAGTTCTTTGAAAGAACACGGCCTTCCGTCTTCCCGCACGCTGCGCTGAGAATGCAACTTTGCGTGGCGCTGAAGGGCGGGCCCCGCTTTGAAAACTGGCCGAGAGCGGTCCGAGCAACTGCTGCCGGATGCGGGAGGGAGGGAGCGCGACACCAAGGCGAGAGCTCCTCCTTGAAGATGAAACGCCCTCCATCCTTCAAACGACTGCACAGTATGGAAGCGAATGCGCGCGGCGCTGAGGCGAGAGAACCATGTTGAATACGGTCCCCCGTCCATCCCTGAACCTGATGCACGCATTCAAGATGAACGCGCGCGGCTAAGGCGAGAGCCACTGTTTAGGAACGGCAGATGCTCCATCACTGTACTTCTTACATAACTTTCATCTGAACTGGCTGGGCGCTAAGGCGAGAGCTGCATGTTGAAAAGAATCCGCCCAAATTTCTTGAAGTTGCTGCAAACCGTTCACACGAATGTGCTCGGCGGCATGGCGAGAGTCCCATTTTGAGAACTATCTGCGCGCAACCAGGGCCACTGTCGCAAGATGATGAAACGAATGGGCGCGGCGCTACGGCGCAAGCACCTCTTTGAAAAGGAACCGCCCTGCATCCTTCAAACTGTTGCAACATGTTGAATGGAACGTGCGCGGCGCTATGGCGAGAGCACCATTTGGAAACAAACGCCCCTATTTGAAAACGGCATGTGCTCCACCACTGCAACACTTGCAATGATTTGACTAAGCAAGAACACCATTCCGAAAAGGACTTGCCCTCCGTCCCTGAAACTGCTGTAACAGTTTAAAGATTATCCCGGTGCGACCCTATTTAGGAGTTGGAGCCTCTAGGAAAGCAACATTCGTAGGAGCGGTAAACGCCGTCCTTGCTGCTATGCTATGCTATGCTATGCTATGCTGCGCTATGCTATGCTGCACTATGCCATGCTATGCTATGCTATGCTATGCTATGCTATGCTATGCTATGCTTTTGCTTTTGCTTTGCCTTCGCGTTTGCCTTCACTTTTGCCTTTGCTTTTGCTTTTGCTTGGCACTCAGGGAGCGCAACTGGGGGAACCGCGCGTTTGCTTTTACCTTTGCTGTTGCTTTTGCTTGGCTCCCAGGGGACTGGGGGAACCACCCGGGGCGATTTCCACTGCCCGGCCCCTTTAAGCCAACAGAGTAAGAACCCTTCTAGGCAGAGCCTAGGTAGGGAACAAATGCGCTCGGCGCTATGGCGGGGAAGACATGTTGAAGACGCCCCTTCTCCCTTTCCGTCCTCGAAGCGGAAGCAGGCTCTCCAGACAACTGCGCGCGACGCCAGGGCGAGGGCACCGGTTTTAGAATGGTCCGCCGTCCACCCTCAGAAGTGTGACCAACTTACACCCTGCGAAATGCGTAAGAAATCATGGGTTCAGAAATTCATAGTCCCAGAATCCGAATAGAAGACAGAATTTCTATGACAGTCTTAGGGCTGACATTGAAACACTAAGAATCATCGAGACTCTGGCCGAAAACTGGGTTTTCTTAAGCATCGCCTAGGGTGTATACTTCTTGGACTGTGCGCGGCACGAAGGGCGAGAGAGCCACGGAGCAGGGGCCGCCCTGCGTCCCCGGAGGCCGCCGCGCAGACCTTTGGAAGACGAGGCGCGCGAAGGCGAGAGGGCCACATTAACTGGAGGCCCGGAGAGGGGCGCCAGCACCAAAACAGGGGGGGGTGCCTCCACAGTCTTGGGTATACACTGGTCCTCCTCCCCCTCCTCCTCCTCTTCCTCCTCCTCCTCCTCCTCCTCCTCCTCCTTCCTCCTATTCCTCCTCCTCCTATTCCTCCTCCTCCTATTCCTCCTGGTCCTCCTCCTCCTTCCTCCTACTCCTTCTCCTCCTCCTCCTCCTCCTCTGCTTCCTCCTCCTCGGCCTTCCACTTGGAGGCCTGGAAATTGGCACCAACACCAGCCCAGGGGGGTGCCTCCACAGGGCGAAGATGCTCCTGGATGTCGGTGCTGGTGGTCATAGTTCGGTCCCCTTGGAAGCCGGAATAGTACCACCATCACCAAGAGTGGGATCTTCATCCCTCGATGGAGGCACACCGCCGATCTTGGTGCTGGTGTCGACCTCTGGGCCTGCGAGCATTGTGGAAACCACCCGCCCTCGACCCTTGAAACTGCTGTAACACATGCCCTGCCCGCCCTGCCCACACGCCTGGGGGTCTGACAGGAAGGACCTCTTCAGAAGGCTCATAAGGACGAGGAGTGGAAGAGGAGGAGGCGGAGCAGCAGCAGACAAAGGAGGGAAGGAGGAGGGAAGGAGGAGGAGGGTTGGTGACCAGGCACACCGCGTGGTCCTCCCCGCTGGCCGAGGCAGTTTGGACCAACACCTCCCGCTCCAGCGGCAGCGGCCCCGCGCGCCCCAGCGCCGTCTCGGACTCTGCCGAACCCTGGCGCAGCACGCTCTTGATCCACGCGGGCTGGCCGAACGACCTGGGGGAGAGGAGGGGGAGGAGGAGGAGAAGGAGGACGAGCACAAGGAAGGGGAAGACGACGACGACGACGCCGACGCCGACGCCGACGACGACGACGACGAGGCGACGAGACGACGACGACGACGACGACGACGACGACGACGAGGACGACGAGGATGACGACGACGACGACGACAACGACGACGCCGACGCCGACGACGACGACGAAGCCGACCCCGACGCCGATGAACACGACGCCGACGACGACGTGAACGAAATCAACGTCGACGACGACGCCGACGCCGACGAACACGACGCCGACGACGACGCCGACACCGACGACACCGACGACGACGACGAGGACGACGCCGATGACGACGACGACGACGATAACAACAACGGAGGACGACGACGACAACAGCAACGGAGGACGAAGATGACGACGACGACGACGCCGACTACGACGACGCAACGACGACGACGACGACGACGCCAACGAGGACGACGCCGACGCCGACCCCGACGCCAACGACGATGACGACGTCGACGCAACGACGACGACGACGACGACGACGACGACGACGCAGACACCGACACCGACGAAAACGTCGACGCCGACGTCGACGCCGACGACGGCGTCAACGACATCGACGTTGACAACGACGACGACGACGACGACGACGACGACGCAGACACCGACACCGACGAAATCGTCGACGCCGACGTCGACGCCGACGACGGCGTCAACGACATCGACGTTGACGACGACGCCGACGCCGACGCCCACGCCGACGCCGACACCGATACCGCTGCCGACGACACAACGACGACGACGCACGGCGACGACGACGACGACGACGACGACGACGACGACGACGACAACGATGACGACGACGCCAACGACGACGAGCACGACGCCGCCGCCGGTGACGCCGACGCCGACGCCGACGCCGACAACGACGACTTCGACGACACTGACGACGACGACGAAGACGAAGACGACGACGACGACGACGCCGACGACGACGACGATGACGCGGGCGCCGACGACGACGACGACGACGACATCGGAGGACGACGACGACGACAACGACGCCGACGCCGACGACGACGATGACGCGGACGCCGACGACGATTACGACGACTACGACAACATCAACGGAGGACGACGACGACGACGACGACGACGACGACGACGACGACGACGACGACGACGACGACGACGACGGCGACGGCGACGACGACGACGACGACGGCGACGCGGACGACGACGACGGTCACGACGACGACGACGACGACGGACGACGAAGACGGCGACGACAACGGAGGACGATGACGCCGACGACGACGACGACGACGACGACGACGACGCCAACACCGACGCGGATGCCAACGACGACGACGACGACGCCGACGACGACGACGACGATAACAACAACGGAGGACGACGACGACAACAGCAACGGAGGACGGCGACGACGACGACGCCGACGACGCCGCCGCCGACGCCAACGACAACGCAGACAGCGACGCCGACGACGACAGCAACGGACAACCGAACCGAAGACGAGAAAGACGACGGCAACGACGACGACGGCGACGACGATGCCGACGCCGACGCCGATGCCGATGACGATGCCGACGACGCAGACGCCGACGACGACAACAACAACGGACGACGCCGACGACGACGACGACGCCGACGCCCAAGACGCCGACGACGCCGACGTCGACAACGCCGACGACGACGCCGACGCCGACGACGCCGACGCAGACACCGACGCCGACGACGACAACAACGGACAATGAAAACGAAGACGAGGACAAGGACAACGATGACGACGACGATGACGGCGACAACAACGACGACGATGACGACGCACACGCCGACGCCGACGCCGACGACGACGACCCAGACGCCTACGCCGACACCGACGCTTACGACGTCGACGACGACGAGGTCGACGCCGACGACAACGACGAAGCCGACAATAACGGACAACGGAACCGAAGACGAGAAAGACGACAACGACGACGTCAGCGACGACGACAACGACGCCGACACCGACGCCGATGCCGATGCCGACGACGCAGACGCCGACAAAGACAACAGCAACGGACGACGACGAAAACGACGACGACGACGACGACGACAACGACGACAATGACAACGACGCCGACGTCGACATCGAAGACGACGCCGACGACGACGACGCCGACGACGACGCCGACGCAGACACCGACACCGACGACAACAACAACGAAAATCGAAAACGAAGACTAGGACGACGACGACGACGACGACGACAACGACGACGACGACCACGACGGCGGGGCCGACGCCGATGCCGACGCCGACGACGACGACGCCGACGCCGACGACCACGACGCCCACGACGACGACGCCGACGACGACGATGACGACGGTGGCGCCGACGACGACGACGACACCACCGCCTACGACGACGACAACGACGACCGCCGACGCAGACGCCGACGACGCCGACGCCGACGCCGACGACGACGACGACCACTGACGTCGACGACAACGACGACGACGACGACGGCGACGATTACAACAGACGAAGACGTCGACAACGAAGACGAAGACGACGACGACGACGACGTCGACGCCGACGACGACGACGAAGACAACAACAACAACAACAACAACAACAACAACAACAAACTCACATCACAATCATCTCCACCATCACAATCACAATCGACAACTAAAAACAACAACCACAACAACAGCAGCAACAACAACAGACACAACAATGACGACGACGACGACAACAGCAGCAACAACAACTACAACAACAGCAGCAGCAGCAACCACAATAACAACAACAGCAACAACAACAAAACAAAAAAAAACAAAAACAACAACAACAACAACAACAATCACAACAACAACAACAACAACAACAACGACAAGAACAACAACAACAACAACAACAACAACCACAGCACCAACGACGACAACGACGACGATAATAACAGACGAAGACGTCGACAACGACGACGGCGGCGACGTCGACGCCGACGCCGACGACGACGACAGCAACAGCAACAACCACAAAAACAACAACAACAACAACAACAACAACAACAACCATTTGGAGACTATTCGCTCTTATCTGCTCGAGTGTCATTCAACGTGTATTTCCCATACCCTCGATACCCGCCGTCCCCGTGTTCGTCGTCGATACCCTCGATACCCTCGATACCCTCCCCGTCGTCATTCAACGTTTATTCCCAAACCCTCGATACCCTCAATACCAACCCTCCCTCGGTACGATCGAAGACTCTTCGATCGTACCCCTTTTGAGGGGTCTACCTTTCTTTCGCCCCTGCAGGCCAGGCCCTGGCAAGCGGCGGGGCGGCCGCGGACCGTCGGCCTGGCCAGCGGCGACAACGACGACGGCGGCAAAGCCGACGCCGACGCCGACGCCGACGACGACGACGCCGACGCCGACGCCGACGCCGACGCCGACGCCGCCGACGACGACGACGACGACAACAACAATCACAATCACAATTACAATCACAACAACAAGCATTTTAAGACTGATTGCTCTTATCTGATCGAGTACCCGTTAACGCGAATTTCCCTAACCCTCGATACCCGCCCTCTTCGTCTTCGCCCCTGCAGGCTGGGCCCCGGCAAGCGGCGGGGCGGCCGCGGACCGTCGGCATGCCAGCGGCAGCGCTGATCGGCGGCAACCCGACCCCAAGAGGGACGGACAGGAGACCGACCACGACGCCGACGACGACGACGACGACGACGACGACGACGACGACGACAAGAACGACGACGGCGACGACGACGACGACGACGAGCGAAAGTGAAAGCTACAGCGAGAGCGAGAGCGACAGCGGGGCCACGAAGGGCAGGAAGGGGGCCACGAAGGGCGACAGCGGGGCCACGAAGGGCATGCGTATGGGGCCACGACGGGCGCGAACGAGCGGGGGCCACGAAGGGCAGATAATGCGGGGCCACAGAGGGCAACGACGGGGCCACTGAGGGTAGCAACGGGGCCGCATAGGGCAGCGAGGGGGCCACAAAGGGCAACAGCGGGGCCACGAAGCGCATGCATATGCAAGAAAGTTCAAGAACCGAACCGAACCGGCCAAACCGAACGGGGCCGAACCGAACCGGTACGAACCGCATGTTTTGTCAACAGGAACCGAACCGAACCGGAACCGAACGAGATCCAATTTCGAACCGAACCGAACCGAACCGGATTCGATTTCGAACCGAGCCGGGCCGAACCTGACGGAACCGCACCGAACAAGACGTCTCCAGGGCCTTGAATTTGGTGATGTGAAGAAGGAGGAGGAGGAGGGGGAGGAGGAGGACGAGGACGAGGACGAGGAGGGCAGGAGGAGCAGGAGGAGGAGAAGGAGGAGAAGGAAGAAGAGGAGGAGGGAAGGAGGAGGATATAAGAATGAGGAGGAGGAGGAGGAGGAGGAGGAGGAGGAGGAGGCAACGGGGCCACGAAAGGCAGCGAGGGGGCCACGAAGGGCTGCAACGGGGCCACGAATTTCAGCGAGGGGGCCACGAAGAGCTGCAACGGGGCCACGAAGGGCAGCGAGGGGGCCATAAAGGGATGCGACGGGGCCACGAAGGGCAGCGAGGGGGCCACGAAGGGCTGCGACGGGGCCACGAATGGCAGCGAGATCTCTATTCCTAAGCTGCAAGGGAGTCCCAAGCGTGAGCGCGACTTCTGGTTGCCTGAGTGTCGGGGGCGCGGCGCTTGAGTAAATTGCGGGAAATTTCAACGCAAGAGCACCATTCTTGAGTAAATTGCAAGCAAGTCCCCAGCGAGAACGCGACTCCACAGCGCCGAGAGCGCGACTCCTGCATTTTTTTCTTAATATATATATATATATATATATACATACATATAGATACACATATATATATTATATATATATATAAAAAAAAAAAAAAAAAAAAAAAAAAAAAAAAAAAAAAAAAAAAAAAAAAAAAAAAAAAAAAAAAAAAAAAAA